CCCGGTCTCCATTATTTCAAATAGAGGTGCACAATTTACTGCACAGTTCTGGAAATCTTTTCAGAAAGGTTTGGGTTCAAAGGTGAACTTGAGTACTGCTTTTCATCCTCAAACAGATGGGCAAGCAGAGCGCACCAATTCATACTTTAGAAGATATGTTGAGGGCTTGTGTGATTGATTTCAAAGGGAATTGGGATGATCACCTACCTCTCATTGAGTTTGCTTACACCAACAATTACCACTCTAGCATCCAAATGGCTCCTTATGAAGCTCTTTATGGGAGAAGATGCAGATCTCCTGTCAGATGGTTTGAAGTTGGTGAAGCAGGGTTGATAGGACCAGATTTAGTCCATCAAGCTATGGAGAAGATTAAATTGATTCAAGAGAGGTTGAAAACGGCACAGTGTCGTCAGAAATCCTACACTGATGTTAGGAGAAGGGTGTTAGAGTTTGAAGTAGATGATTGGGTATATCTAAAGGTTTCACCCATGAAGGATGTTATGAGGTTTGGTAAAAAGGGGAAACTTAGTCCCCGGTATATTGGGCCTTATAGAATATCCAAAAGGATGGGCACTGTAGCTTATGAGTTGGAGCTACCACAAGAGCTAGCAACGGTTCATCTGGTGTTTCACATCACCATGTTGAAGAAGTGCATGGGCGATCCTTCATTAATCATACCAATTGAAAATATTGAGATCAAGGATAGCTATCTTATGAGAAGATTCCAGTCCAGATTCTAGATCGTCAAGTTCGCAAGTTAAGGACAAAAGAGGTGGCATCAGTCAAAGTCCTTTGGATGAACCAATTTGTTGAGGAAGCTACTTGGGAAGCTGATGAGGATATGAAGAAGAGATATCCACATCTCTTTGAAACCGGAGAAAATGCAGACCAAGGTACTAATTTTCTTCTTAGTACTATCTAAATTATGAGTGAGAATGTTCCTTGTTTGAAATTGCTTTTGGGATGTTTGAACTTGATGTTACCACCCTTAGCTTAGTAAGAGTAAATCTCATTCGAGGACGAATGTTCCCAAGGGGGAGATATTGTAACATCTCACAACTAGAAAGAACTAGAAGGAAGTTTAAATTATGGAAATAGTTATTTTTGGAAAGTATTAAGGAAATCTGGAAAATTGCAAGTAAGTTAAAATTGAGTTTTTGGTCAACTTCAATCGGTCATATCTCCTAGCTCAGGATGAGTTAAGTGTAGTTCCAGATATGGTTGAAAATCTCTTGGGACGATATTTCCAACGCCGCCAAGTTTGCACGATTCTGAGTTTGTATGAGTGAGTTATCCCCTTTAAAAGTTGGGTTGTTGGATTAAAGAAATGTCCAATCCAGAATTTTAAGGGGTATTTTAGTCTTTACATTTGCCCTATTATTTTAATCCATTTTTAGGAGTTTAATATGGGTCAAATTAGATTTTAGTCAGTTTTAGAATTTGGGATTTCACGCTAGGGCTAAGGAGAAAGTTTAAGAGAAAAAAAGAAAGAGAAAAGGGCAAATTCATCAAGATCGATCAAAGAAGTTGGTGTTTCGCCAAGGATTTGCTTCTATCAGGTATGTGAGGCTCTCATAACGTTGGGATCATTCTCCCACGTTCCAAGCATATTTATTTCAGTTTGGATTTGTCCTAAAAGCATATGAATATTGATGATCTTGATACCTATTCTTGAATTCATATTTTAATCTTGAATTTGACTGAGTTGGGAAGTTTATGAGTTCATTACGTCGCATTATATGGTTGTTTCGAGTTAGGTTCTTAGGTACATTTGCTGGGTATCTATATCTAAAAGTAATCTGGAAAAAGAATCGAGTTTGGGTGATTTGGGGTTGGAAAACGAAGAAGAAATTTCATTGGACGAAATTAAAAGGTGACCGTGCGTCGTGTGCCTAGTGCCCAGATTTGAACATTTCAGCTTCGCATCGCGGAGCTGACACGAGGTGTTCTACCTCAAAAGATGTTTTCGAAACCAAAATTTAATTATGCCTCCGCGTCGCGAACCCACCAACAAATCTTGAGTTTCGGTTTCTTCTCATGTTTAGCTATCTAGAATCATTCCTAAACAACATGAGATCTTTCGAATCACAAATCTTAATCCTTGGATCCATAATTCAATTTAAGGATCAGTTAAGAGTCAAGCCAAGAGCAGTTAAGATCAAAGTCAAGAGAAGTCAAGAGTCAAGTAAGAGAAGTTCATTTCAAGCTTTCATAAGTCTTTTACAAATGTTATAACTTTGTTTTAAAACTTAAGTTTTGAGTTCAGTAAAGAGTAATGCTGAAGTTCTTTTTTTCAAAGAAACATATGGGGACTAAGTATTTCCCAAAGAGATTTAAAATGTTTTACACATTTAAATAAGAGCGGAAACTAAAATTTCCAAAGGGGCTTCGGGCTAGTTTTCAGAAAAGAGTAATAGCTTTCTAAATGAAGCAAGCAGGGAAACTGAGATTTCCAAGATAGCCTTTGAGCTAAGTTTTTGAGCACTAATCTCAAATCACAGAAGAAGTATGTTTTTAAAACATAAGAGCCAGTATATTTTGGGAATAGTATTGAGCACCGAATTGGGGGATGAGCATGAGTTTAGATAACTCACGTAACCATAGAACCATGTAGCCACCATGGGTAGAAAAGGGTCATACCTTTTAGATGAATCCTTTGCACAATAGTCTAGTGGATTCATTAGGCAGTTCAGGTTCTATACATTTGGCCGGGTATAGGATGCGCTGGCAGCGTGAGGTAGATCGTTGTATCATCATTATAGCTCTTATGTGATGGTTGTCGGTTAGAGAAACTCCCACATAAGTTATTGTATTTTTATATACATTAGTTTATTGTATTTTTACATACATTTCAGAGTTATGTTGTATCCTTGCACATACCCAGAGTTGACATCATGTTTTTAAACAACTTTTCTTTATATTGCATTTGTTTTAAACTGTTTTATATTGAAATGAGTTCAGTTAAGTATTCATGAGTTGAGAAGAGCCAATGTAAGTGTTTCTTCCAGATTCTCTTTCCAGCCTATGTTATTTTAGCATTACAACTCACATACCCATACATTCAATGTATTGATGTCAGTTGGCCTGCATCTTATTATGATGCAAACACAGGTAACTAGGATCGGCATCCGGCGCATTCGTTGATCCAGTGAGCAGTTCAGAGTCTGTTGGTGAGCCTCTTTGCATTTCATATGACTCCTTTACATTGCTTTCAGTTTTAGTATTGGTTGATGTCAGTTGGCCTGCATCTTATTATGATGCAAACACAGGTAACTAGGATTGGCATCCGGCGCATTCGTTGATCCAGTGAGCAGTTCAGAGTCTGTTGGTGAGCCTCTTTGCATTTCATATGACTCATTTACATTGCTTTCAGTTTTAGTATTGGTTCATTAGGATGTCGTGGGCTTTTCCCGACATCCATCTCAGTTGTTTAGAGGCTTCATAGATAGTCAGACAGACAGACAGTCAGTTAGTTAATCCAGTTGTCTTTACTTTTCATTTCATATTTTAAAGACTTGAGTTTGCCTTAATGGCCAGTTGAATATTCCTTTGTAACATTCTAGTTACTTTATAAATGTGTATGTGATGAGTTAAGTCTTTCGTTGAGTTAGTAAGTCAGGTCAAGGGTTCACTTGAGGCCACCAGTGGTCTTCAAGTGTCAGTCCAGCCCAGGGTGTAGGCTCGGGGCGTGACAGTTTAGCATTCCAACTCGCATACTCGTACATTCAATGTACTGATGCCAGTTGGCCTGCATCTTATTATGATGCAGACGCAGGTAATCAACATCCAGCGCCTCGTTAATCTAGTTGAGCACTCCAGAGTCAGTTGGTGAGCCTCCTTGCATTCCGGATGACTCTTTTTTATTGCTTTCAATTTTATTATTAGTTCATTAGGATGTTGTGGGGTTTGTCCCAACATCCATCTCAGTTGTTTTTGAGGATTCATAGACAGTCAGACAGATAGTATTAGTTCTTTAGCCTTATTCATTTCAGTTGTATCCATTTAAGACTGTTGCCATTTTGGCTAAGTTATTATATTTTAAGTTATTGCATGAGCTTTATCTCTTATGTTTAAGTCTTCCGCTAAGTAAGTAAGTCATGTCAAGGATTCGCTTGGAGCCAGCAATGGTTCTCGAGTGCCGGCCACGTCCAGGGTATAAGCTCGGGGCGTGACAAAAAATGAGATGTATTGAAAACATATTTCAAAAGGTGGGATAAGAAGTAAGCTTTGAGGCATGAGATGTAAGCCTCATGAATTTTTAAATATTTTAATTTATAATATAGGAAAATAGTATAGCAATACAATAATTTTAAGTTAAAAATATATAATAATAGCTTAGAATAATTAATAACATGATAAAAAAATTCATCATAAAATATAAAACTTCTAATATGATTTTATAAGTATAAATAATGCAATGATATGAAAGTTATTATGAGGTGCAATTCAACTCTAATATTTTAACTCTCATATAATAAAATAATTACAATTTCTTAAAATATATTATTATCATTGTATGCAATTTACCTCCATAAAATAAAAAATAATATTTAAAGAAATATTATTTTTAAATATTATTAAATGATATCCACCCACGATGTTCTCAAATACTAAATATGCAATACTATAAGTTATTTGAGCTACTCTCAATTTTGCTTTTTCTATAAATAGAAAAAGTTATTAAGCATGATTCATTTATTAAAGGATTATCTTGAGGTTAATAATGTTAATATAAAGAGTTTGACACATTTTTATAAAATATATTAGACAAGCCTCAAGCATTAAATGTTAAGTGTGTTTAAGATATACAATCAACTGCTTAAGACGTAAGCCTCACCGCATTAAATCCACACATGACACATGAGTCTAGAGGCGTTCTACTAGTGCCCTCAATTTTATAATGTCCCCCAACAAAGAAAATAGCCTTTAATTACTTTGACAAAAAGATTATGATCTTGATAAAGTTACCGGAAAAAAACAAAAAATTACACACTTAGCCAAAACTTTGTCAACATGAAAAAAGAAAGAACTAAACTATTAACTTAAAAGCTAATTAAACTTCTCATCTAATTAAGTGTATGAATATTCTTTTTCTACCTAATGCTAATTGTTAGATATAGCATCTTCACGTTGGAGAGGTTCAATCCTTATTATAACTTCTTGTATTGGAGCTAATGAAATTGGATCAATTCTTTGGCATGTCTCAATAAGGCAATGTCTACAAGTAGGGCAAGAAGAGTGAGAATTGAGCCATTTATCGATACAACGAACGTGGAATCCATGGTTGCACTTAGGTAGAACCTTAATTTTCTCCCCGATTTGAAATTCCGATAAGCAAATGACACATTCAGAGTCAAGTCTTGAATGTTTCAATTCAGTAGTGTATGTTATAACCGGAAATGTTTTGAGAGCTTTTTTCTCGATCCCTCTATTGGCTAATTTTGTTGAAGAAGGGTTGTTATTTGTATGATTTGATGAGGATGAGTTTGCTAATATTAGGGTAGAGCAATTAAATGCACATTTTATGATGAAATTCAAGACAAATGAACAAATTATGGCACATACAAGTATGGCCAAGACCATAATAACATTTTCATCAAATGTGTTGACTTTGTGACCAAGTGGTGGATGATTAGTTGTATCGTGGCTGATTCCGGCTGCCGGAGGTGGCGCCATGGTGGCTTCCTGGAGTAATCTTCTTGAGTAGTGGAAGTTCTCCATGAATTCTTGAATTAATAGAGTTGAAGTTATAGTTGACATATTTTAGAGCTTTTGGTTTAGACTTTGTATTGTGTGTTTTCTTTGTTTTTGTTGGTATTGAATGAGTTCAAGAGTATCAAATGCTTAAATAGGACAAATGTATACAGGGACAGGTGTAAATTAAAGCGTGGTCAACTTTGTGAGTCTTAATAATAGAAAGTTATATTATTTTATATTGTTAAAAGAACGGTGAACAATTGAGTTTCCTTTTTTTTGTTTATTCAAGAAAGAATGATTCCTTCTTAATTTATATGACATATTTCGAATTTTAAAATTCAAATAATTTTATCTATGATCGTAAATTTTTTATATATCTTTTAAAATTTAGATTGTCAATTACTGTGACTTATAATACCTTTTACGTAGTTTACAAATATATAAACATAATACAATGTTTCATTTTCAGAAATAACCTCGATACAAGAAATTGACTAAAAAGAGTTCCTTCTTACATATTTCAAAAAGCTTTTAGCCATGTATTATTGTTACACATTTAAAATTATAAATTCATAAAAAACACAATTATTTTTTCCTTTATCATATTCTCCACTAACTAAGACCGTTGGTAAGTTAATGGGTTATCCACTCAAGAAGGAGGCAGGGCACCTCCATTGCCGACTGTCTGGTACGCTGACACCTGGCTATTAGCATTATGTACAATCGTTAATGAACCAAATCACATGTACCAAAGATATTTTTTGAGCAAAAACGACCGTTAAAATGAAGATGTAACAACTTACTTTGTTTGAGAGAGTGTAAATTAAAACTTTGTTGTATATCTCTCTCTATATAGCTAGAATGTAATTGGAGGAAATGACTTTATTATCTGAATAAGTTCCTCTTCTTTATGCATATATTTAGGGCGGAGCTATATTTATTTAAGGGTGTCCAACTGGACACCATTTGTTGAAAAATTATGTTCTATATATATATATATATATATATATATATATATATATATGTGTGTGTGTGTGTGTGTGTCAAATTCTGCATTTAAATGATATATATTTAAAATTGGACACTCTTGACAAAAGGTATATTTATGGCGTAGTGGTAATAAGTGTCCATTTTAATGAAGAATTCTTAGGGTTCTAACTCCAAATAGCACAATATTTTTTTGTTTTGTATTATAACAGCCACACATCATTATTCTTGGACACCCTTGATAAAATTTATGATTCCGTCACTACATATACTAGCTAGACATTTTGACAATCACCCACTATTATTTTTAAACACTCTTCACAAAATTCGGACTCTGTTACTGAATATACTAACTAGATACCTGATAAGCTATGGAAAATTAAAGTGCATGTCATCATATCACAACGGTTGAGATTGAACTGATTATTAATAGGAAAAAGTGGTAACATATGGCATAAAAAGTACAAGTTAGGTGTTGTAAATATAGATTTGTAAGCCAAGTATTGGTTAATTTTTGCTACGTGTGCTTCTAACTTTTTCTCTTTTTGAACACTAGATCTTTAGTGCATGAATCAAATCTCCACTTAGGCACAGAAGTTCCCTATAGTAACAAACTAGCTAGTTCTATGTTGTTTTGATATTTTACCTTATAGATCTGTCTCATATAGTAGTAGGGGTGGCTGTTCGCGCAATTCGAATTAAATATAAAAAACATGATCGGCTAATGACATAACAAGTGGTCTCAAATTCTTATAGTAATATGAAATTCTTAGTAGGCGTTTGGCCATGCGATATCATATCACGATATGGTGTCGTGAGATGAAATCAGCGTTTGGACATGCGATTTTACGTTGATTTCATCTCATGATTCCATATCATGAGAGGTGATATCATATTCTCCAAAAACCATGATATGGAATCACCATGTGATTTCATATCATGATTTTAGATATTTTAATACAATAATTGATCCATGAGTTTATATTTTGTTAAAACAACCCCACATTTATATCTACTAACCATTTGTTTCATATGTAAATAAAATTTATAATCACATCATTACTTTTTAAAATTTATTATTCTCACCAATATAAAATTTATTATCACTTTAAATTTGGTGAATATAAATGATAAAGTAGAAATTCATTTGGTGAATATAAATGAGAACAAAGGGAGTAATACTTTTTTGATTTTTCATAATAAAAAAAAACGTCTTAATCTTATGACTAAGCATAATATTGATAAAAGACAATTTTCATTGGCGGTGCCGCACTTTCTTAATCTTAGTATTTGCAAAATGTTCGTTCACATGACTGAAGGATATCAAGTCCAATTGATTGAGGACTTAGGAAAATTTGATCAATTAGTTATTAATATTTAGTCAAGTGGACTAGTTATAATTTTTTTGATTAAATTTTATTAGAAGTGTTTTAGACTCAAACTTGTGGTAACTTTTTAAAATTTCGTTATTCAATAATATTTAACTATTGATTTTTCTTGTAAATAGTTAGAAGTTAGTGATGTTTGTTAATTTTTATATTAGTGCATTTAACTTCTAAGTTAATATTTACTCACTAATGTATGTTTTTTTCTACTTTATAGGTTATTTGTAAGAGTAGTTGAGAGATATGAACATATCAAGTACAATTTATGTTCAATTTTTTTTAATTAAATTAAAGTTAGATGAAACAATTATTTAACTGAAGAACAAATAACTTTGTAATAATTTATTATGCGATTTTATAATTTTTGTTTATCTGATAAGATTGAATAAACAATTGGGGCTATTTTAATAGTTTTACAACTTATGGGATTTTTATGTTTATGAGAAAATATACAACACAAAAATTTCATATCACATGTCCAAACAAACCTTCAATTTCATCTCATGATTCCATATCATGATACCATATCATGATTTCATATCATGATACCATATCGCATGGCCAAACGGGCCCTTAATAAAAAGTTGAGAGAAGTGTCAAAAACACACCTAAACTTGACGATAATTTAGGAGTGTATTTCACTCATGTTGTAAAATTGGGGGTGTATTTAAGTTCAATTAGTCAAGTTAAAATGTGTTTTTAAGGCCGTCAATAATTCGAAGTTGAAACTAATAATTCGTTTGCTTAAGCTTTTCGGGTTTTCCATATCTTCTTTGAATGTTACAAATTTTCGAGTCAGTAAACTTAAAAATGAATCATATATTTAGATACCAGATGAATCAATGAGCTATCAAAATTTTCTAATCAACCCTATCCATTGGTCACCTTTTGGGCTTTTCCATGGCATCCACATATAATTACTTTTTTTCTTCTTTTTTTGGTAGATTTCTTTCAAATTAATCAAATCCTTAATTATGCTTATTAGTACTATTAATTAAACAAGTCCCCATTTGTTAGGAAATCTTGAGAGATTACTCTCTTGTTGGATCAAATGTCATCTTTTTTTTTGGTATTTCATTCGGTGTCCGAAACCACATGGGAGCCCAACTAAATTTGAACCACGCACTGCAGGACTCATTCAAGAGTGACACTCCCAACATGATTTTTTCATACTCAACGCTTGAACCGGAGGATCAAATGTTATCTTATTTCTACAAAATGTTATTTTAATTGATACCTTTTAGGCGGATTTTTAGCCGAATATTAAAGTAAAACAATTTATTAAAGGACTAATCAATCTCCTTCTATACTATGACAAGCTGTAGTTTTGTTGAAGACAGATCAAATGAAACAATATTTGTCACGAATCACCATCACATACATTTGTATTAGTTTATTATACGTATTATTGATGTGAAAAAGTAACAACGTATATAATATTGTAGACAACTTGGAACCACAATATAATATAAGTTAATATTTTCCTAGTGTACTACTATACTACTACTTGTCATTTTCTAGAAAAGCTCTACTCGAGCCTTAAATTACTATGCCCAATATTGACCATCTTTCACATGGAAATATTGTTATAGGTTGTTCCAGATAATATTCTTTTGTTATGAATTGGGATAATATTGATCATATAATATCTGACGTTTCTATCGTTTTAACCACATCATTAGGACACAAGTTCTTCCCTATCTTCGAGCCATACATATACGTATTCTTGATGAGAAAAGCAATAGACAACTTGGAACCACAATATATATGTTAAGAGAATAGCCTTTTCTATGACAAAGAAGGAGCATGATCATCTTGATAAAGAAACAAGAACAAAATTTAATTTATACACTTGCAAGACTATATAGCTAGCCAAAACTTTTCCAACAAGGACAAAAGAAAGAATTAAACTATATATCAACTTAATTAAAAGCTAAGTTTCTAATCCAATTGAGTTTATCTACTACTAATTCTACCTAATGTTGATTATTAGATATAACATCTTCACGTTGGAGAGGTTCAATCCTTATTACAACTTCTTCTACTAGAGCTGATGAAATTGGAACAATTTTTTGGCAAGTTTCAATAAGGCAATGCCTACAAGTAGGGCAAGAAGAGTGAGAATTGAGCCATTTATCGATACACTTGACGTGGAATCCATGGTTGCACTTAGGTAGAACTTTAATTTTCTCTCCGATTCCAAATTCAGATAAGCAAATGACACATTCAGAGTCGAACCCTGGATGTTTCAATTCAGTAGTGTATGTTATAACCGGAAATGTCTTGAGGGCTTTTTTCTCGATCCCTCCATTGACTAATTTTGTTGAAGAAGGGTTGTTATTTATATGGTTTAAGGATGAGTCTACCAATATTAGGGTAGTGCACCTACATACACATTTTATGATGAAATTCAAGATAAATGAACAAATCAAGGCACATACAAGTACGGCCAAGACCATAATGACATTTGCATCAAATGTGTTGACTTTGTGACCAAATGGTTGATGATTAGTTGTATAGTGGCTGATTCCGGCAGCCGGTGGCGGTGCCATGGTGGACTCCGGGAGTAATCTTCTTGAGTAGTGGAAGTTCTCCATGAATTCTTGAATTAATAGAGTGGAAGTTATAGTTGCCATATTTAGAGCTTTTGGTTGAGACTTTGTATTTGTGTTTTCTTTGTTTGAATGAATATAATTGAGGAATAATTGCTTTATATAGGACTAATGTA